CCATAGCCCTGTGGTTGTGGCTGCTGCTGTCCGTATGACGAGGATTTCTCTCTGTACCTTCGAGGCGCAAGATGACACGTGTCGGCCGATAACGTTCACTCAGAAATGACCAATGGGGTTTTGGCTTAACGTAACACCATGGAAACAGCTGCCCAATAACTGAACAGGTCAGGCAGGCTAGTGTAACTATTAACCAATAATCACTTTTTAGGGAGTCAACCAGTAGGGGGCGCAAGCAAGGGGAACATCTTACCCTCCTGACGGGTCTGAGCCTTGTTGGCCATAGCTGTCAAAGCCGGTCTGAGACTGCTGTCCATAGGATCCAGAATAGCCTTGGGTGTTTTGCCCGTAGGTCTCTGTTTGGGAACAGAGGTTAACCAAGACATGTTCTCTCAAGCTTTCCATCCAGGCTTGACTATGCATCATTTATTCTGTTGCTGCACCCCTTGGTAAACCTCACAAACCTGGGGGGGAGGGGGGGTCACACGATTCACTAGTGTCCACATTATATACCAACATGGATGCTTCTGACGAGTTGGGGTAGTTTGCAAACCCTACAGACTATTTACTAGGTAATAAAACAAGTACATACAAGTAAATGTGTGGTTGCGATTCTAGACTTCCCTCAAATTGAAAATCTCACACCAGCCAGCTAACCAAAGTTGGCAGAAACCTCACTGTTGTGGTACAAATGCAAGAAATATCAAAATAATAATTAATATTATTCATAAAAATATAAGACTGGCTACCGAACTTTGATACTTTTGTGGCACCGACAGAAATGCTCCAATCCTATCCAGGATCGAATAAGTGTTTCGGTGCCAAATTCTGATACCCAAAGAGTAAATCTCAGGGTCTGTAAACCAATAATCATGCAGCATATGTAAAGATCTAAAGTCACTGGTGACTGGCTGTCTAACATACTCATGAAATGTTCTCACAAAGGCCGGAGGAAAAACATGCTCAGAGACAAACCTGTGAACTGGTTCGCATGTGTGTTGTTTTTTGAAGGAGGAAAAAAAAAAAAAAAAAAAAAAAAAAAAAAAAAAGTGTGGTTCCACAGGGTTCCAGGCTGCGACTATTTAGTTGCATTTTGCAACCACTTTTGAAGACAGTGCAACTAAATTTTATAACTAGACGCACCAGGGCGACTTGCAAATATGCCCCCCATATAGTGGCTGATCACATTGTCGTATATCATGTGAAACACCTGGAGGCAGTTAGAATTGGTGTGCATGTGTGCGAGAGCGAGATCGGAACTCGGTCCGATACAGTTCCACAGAGGCACTAATGAAGCAGTGCTTACAGTGATAAATTTGCCAATTGCTTGAGCACAAGCACCAGCACCAACATAGTTTAACAAATTATGTAAAAGTGCAGAAAAAGACAGTATACGGTATTATTTTTGTACCTCAATGAGATTGAGCACCTTAACCTGTAAAATGTGCCAGTGCACCAGGATAACATTGTCTTTTACTCAGTGGAAAAGGAAAGATCGATCCGCTGGCCAGATATATTTACGAATTACAAACCTGTCACAGGTCATATAAGTAAAACCAGGGCTCAAGTCTCACGCACTGACTGAGACACACGCATTTCAAATAGTTCATACGCTCATCGAAGTACCGAACATGTTATTACATGAATGTGCACACATTCAGAGTGCAGGCAAGGTGTAACTTGCAGAGCAGGATCCAATGAATGCAGTAGGCAGGGCTGTAAAGTGTCACACGCGGACTGTGAGACTCACGCTCCGTCCCCTAACAGATGTAATCTCACACCAAACATTTGATGAAACTTGAGAGCCCCATTAAAACATAAATAAAAGGTTGTGTCCCATTATGATCCCAATCGATCCCCCAATAACTAATCAATAACTAAAAAGACGACTTCTTCAAATAAAAGATAAGTGCTGTAATGTTTAATGTATTCTTGTTGTTGAAATAGATTTACAAACATACTGGAATTGGGAAAAAGAATGTTGTTCAGGGACCGGTATTGAAACCAAGGTATCCTTCTGGTATTGGTATCGAAAAACGTTGGCCGTATATGTCTAGAGAACTATGAATGTTTCCGTGTCTGCGCACACAGAGTGGATACGCGGGTGTTGCGTGCCTGCGGAGATGTGTGAACCAGCCAATGTAAGGCCTCAGCGCGACGACTGAGCCAGTTAAGCACCTTAGAAGTAGGATCCGTGTGGGTTGCAGTACCTCACAATATACAAAACCTTGTCAATTCTATAATGCGATAAAGGTCAGACTCTACAAAAACAGGTAAAGGACTGTTTTGGGGGCGTGTCGTGTGATTAGACAGACTTCCACTATTGCTCAAAAGACCATTTCAAAATGTGACCATATGGAGGTACCACGTCAAAGAAGCGATCACTTACCAGGCGGTGCGTAGCTGCCATAGCTCTGACCACCATGCGATGATCCATCACTCCCTTGACCGTAGCCCTACGCAGCAAAGGCACAGCACAAGATTTTTATTCGTTCAACTGCCGACTCTGGCCTGATCGGTTACGGTCCGATACTAAGATCCAAAGCACGTACCTGCGCACTCTGCTGGTAACCCTGGGGAGGAGGCGCGCCGTAAGATGAGTAACTTTAAGAAGGAAACATTAAAATGTTTAGATTACAGCCACATGTAAGATTTTGGGGCTTCTGTAGTGAGCAGCATAGCGCCGATACCGACTTTGAGCGCCAGGCTCGTCATTGTGTCGTGACAGGAGTACATCGTCTGGCTTAAGTATACGTGAAGCATCTCGGTAATACCATACATATCAACTCAGTCTGTGACCGTACCTTTGCTGTGGAGCGCCAGGCTGACCGTAACCAGATTCTGCGGAAAGAGGAAACCGGTCAGGGAGGCACACCGGGTGTAGTTAATCAGACGGCTCTGCCACTTTAAGGGGGCCTGGGCATGAATATGTGCCCGCGATAGATGACAAATGCGATCAAGGAATCGTGAACGCCAGTGAAGGTCCACCTCTCGATTACCCCAAAACAAAGAATGCGGCGCCCAAAACGCGCCACCATGCGCCGGCGTGGTCTGAGGCCTAGCACGCCTTCAAACATGGCGGACAAATAAGGCCCAGCACCAAACTACATATTCTTCTGCAGGATGATCACTATCGGCAACTAGAGATATGCGTCTATTAGTGCCAGGCTGACCATGCGATGGGCAAGTGGGCAGTGAAGGCTGCAGCCTGGCGTCGCGCACCGGCCCGTAAAACACCGGGTAGCCCCCCCACCCGCCGCAAGGGCGCTTAAATTCAAATTCGTACGCGTCTCACGAAAGTTCAATATACGAATAAAAACCGATATGATATTAGTAAGTCACAAAAGCTTACCAGAAGCCATTTTCCAGCTCGTAATAAAACCACTACTCCACCTTTTAAACTATTTCACGTTAAAAACCCGACACCATGAAGGCGCCCAATGCGGATCTTATGAACTCCGACCTTCCGGTTGAAACTACCAACTTCCTGCTATGACGCGTTTCCTTAACACTGCGATTGTGCTGGACGTCGTATTATGGGCAGCGTCGAATAATGCGTCACCGCATCGTATGCAACGCTGTAATTCGCATTTATTCTCGGCACAGTTTTGGTGTGGCGATTCGATGAAGCTCCATTGTTAGTCTTATAGGCTTTGTTGTACTGGAGTCCCCCCATTTCTTATGTGGAACATCCCAGATACTTCCTTTTAGGGTCACGTGGGAACAGCCATCTGCGGCTTGTTGTCTATGCACCAGTTAGTACATAGCGAATAATGTGGAGTCGTGTTTACGTCCATAGTAATTGATATACACTGATCGAGAGATGCCTGAAAGTGGACGTAGGACGTTAGCGTGTGTATCGTTTAGTGTAACAGGTGCAGAAGAATGTGCAGCGCTGCCAGCCGTAGCCTAACCCCCCTGTCCATATCTAACTTGAATTACAGTATTCATCTAGATCAGGGGGTCAAGCTTACCTGGGGCTTGACTTTTTTTTTTTTTTTTTGAAGGAAGATAAGGAGCTAAAATACAAATATAAAAATGATGCATACAGTATTGTATATGTGAGGGATGCTAAAATAAGCAGATGATACAGTACCTGTACAGTGCTATTTCATTACATTAAAAAAAACTTACTGAACTGTGCAAAAATTAATATAAAAAATATATACAATAACATTTCTCCGCAGCTTCAGGCACCGCCTTCTTTCTCAGCTCCCACCGTTTGCTACCATGTGCATGTTTTGATTTCCTAGTGCAATCCGTGCCTTATAGTCATGAAATGTAAGTGCATCATGGCTCCCAAAAGAAACCTGTTGAGGAATCCAGGAAGAGACACTGTAGCATCAACTTGGAAATGAAGCTGAACATGATAAAGCAGCATGAAAGTAGAAAATATAACGCCGTGGCACATAATTTTTACTTTTCACATCCCAACACAACCACCATCCTGAAAAATAAAGAGAAAATTAAAGAAGCTGTTAAAGGATGTGCTTCCATGAAGGCGACAGTATTGACTAAATAGAGGAAAAGCCTGATATCTGACATGGAAAAGCTCCTTGCAACATGGATACAAGACCAGGCCCAAAAGCAAATCCCCTAAGTACTGTGATAACAGCAAAGGCATTGTGGCTTTTCGAAGCAAAAAGCAGGCCCTGATTACGATGTGCAGTTTAAGGTACCGCTGGCTGGTTCAAACAGTTTAAGCAGAGGGAGCATCTCAAGGTTAATGGTGAGGCTGCAAGTGCTGGTGCAAAGACAGCTGCTGATTATTGTAGGAGGATATTTTCCAGAAAATTTAACATGGATGAAACACGCATGAACACGAAGAGACTGCCGCAATGAACATTCATCCATCGAGAAATGAAGTCTGCGCCTGGCTTTAAGTTGCACAAGGAGCGTGCAAATGTAGTTGGCAGTTATTAATAACAGCCATTTGATTGCAAAAACTAGAATGTTATCAATGTTTAAACAGTATTAACAGATTCAGTCAGAAATATGGATGGGTTTAATCTCACGTTTTATTATTTTAAAAACACGCCTATTTTTAAAGAAACATTGCATATAAAACTGGATTACACTGCGTATATGTAACATGAACAGTACCAGTTTCTCAAATATACACACATATCTCGATCCCAGCCCACCGAAACATTCTATAATGTTTGGCTTAGAAGATATGAAAGTCATTTCTTTTTAAAAATCATCTCGGATATTGCAGCCCACTGAGAATACAAGGGAAGGCACTAGTGTAACATATAAAATTTATACTATATGATCCAGTCGAACGATTACAAAAAAAAACCTCATTTAGAACATCATATTGTTTTTTTCTGTGGTTACGGTTTACGCCATTAGCATAACGGCACTGAGTGACATTCAGTGAGCTTCCTCCGGAACAGAACATCACGAGGTTGAAGGCATATGGACCAACAGACTCAGCCATGAATAAAAAGCACATACAATGTGACCTGGCATCAGTGCCAACAGACGGACTGGGGCATTTACATCAGTTCAGCCTCCAGGCATGAAAGATAAACTGCAAGCTGACTCCAGAATGGATTTCTACAAAATACCTCTCGACTGCTATTATTCTGTACCAACTTACTGGTTCTGGTAGTTGTAGGAGTCAACCTGTAAATGCAGCGGTGACCTTGGTTAACTAAGGTTCATGGTTTAAAAACTCTTTTTAAAGTATACTATCGCCACAAGTATGAAACAACATATTCTTTTTAACCTTTAATAGGCTCCTCGTAGCAAATGTCTTGATATTCCGGCAAAACCTGTTATCATTAATAATAAACAAAAAAATAATAATAATACAATATTTATAGAATAGTTAGGTGGTTTTAAGAAGTTGGGCTCATGACCAAGATATTCATGCCTTCAAATCCTATTAAGGAAATTGCTGTTGGACCCTATGAGGAGCTAAACCCTTCAGTCAGAAATATACATATACAGTGGTTTTAAAATATCAGCATGGTGACTGTGTACTGCTTTGAATGAGTCTGTTGAGATGTATATATATATATAAAAAAAAATAAAAAAAATCTTATTTCCACTTTGTGGTCACATAGAATCACAGTCAGGCAACCTAACGTGACTGTTTTTTAACCAAAACTGCCCTTTTCATGTTAAACCACATACACAGCTGCGGATCTCACGGCTTCTTAATGAAACACCAAATGGCACATGCATGGCCAATTCACACGTAGGCAGTGCCTAAACTTTGCACAGTATATGTACGGTAAGCATTTTCTATATAGGAAGAATAGCATGTAGCACTCTGACAGTGTCTTCCGATACATACAGTTTAACAGGAGCACTTCCTAGACATGCACACACTCAGCGTTCCGTCCGTAAGTAATGCCTATCACATTTAATGTCATCCTTTCATTTTGTTTGAAGTTACTGGCTGCATAAGGTTTGCTGCTACTGCAAGTCTGCATTAATGTCGACAATCAGCTGCCCAAAATGCACATAGTCTGAGGCTGTACATTAAATCTCATTTTCCACAACATCAGAAACACCACATGACATTACATGACATTTTGCTCAAATCATTTGCACCCGCACCACTGTCCCCATGGCTGCATCGCTGATCGGCCACAGAGACTTTTGGTTTGCTTGGTTAGTGGACTACTGCTGGACAGGCTGCAAGAAGATAATCATAAGAGTTAAAGACCCTGCAAATGTGCAGGGCGGTAGGCAGGAGGGGAACAAACTGGACATGTGAGCAGGGAAGTTTTTCACTTTTGAAAGGGAATAATGTGCCGGGAGGGGGCGTGTGAGCTGTGCTGTTTGTCAGACGTTCGAGGTCTTCAGCTCCAGACGTCCTGCGAGTAACGGCCTTTCGTCATCAGCTTCTTGATGTAGTCCACGGCCTGAGTGTGGCTCATGGCCCCGAGCTCGGCGGCAATGTCGTAGAAGGTATTCTGCACGTCACGCGCCATGTTGCGGGCATCCCTGGGTGGGGCAGCAAGAGTGGCGCTTAAGGATACGGTCTCGCAAACCCGAGGTGTGCAGCTTAGCAGGTTAGGATGTTATGCTTGTGTTCGCGGGGTTGCGGGTTCAAAGCACATGGTCAGCAGAACTGCCAGATGCTCCAGGGACTGACCGCTTTCTCAAAAATATGTCACTAATAATGAAAAACGTAAGCCTGCAGCTCACTGGAGGAACCTGCTGTTGGACCCCAGGGCCATGTACTTAACATGAGCTGCTCTGGTATGGAATGTCCAAATAGGTACAGCTGTTGGCATCTAAACCAAGACATGGAGCTTCACAGTGACAGAACGCCGTGAGGCCTCAGAGGACCGCCACTCACCCACAGACATAGATGTGGGCGTTATCTGTGTGAATCAGCTTCCATAAATTCTCCTTGTTCTTCTTCATAAGATGTTGCACATACACCTGAAGTATCAACACAGGACAGGGGGGGAAAAAAAAAGGACAAGGTCTGGTGGGTCCCAAAGCTGACATGTCCTGAACAAACCAGGAAAAAACATGCAGACATGCTCCATCCCATGAGACTCCAGAGCCCCCCCACCTTCTCTCCCTGGTCTCGGGAGAACGCCACGTTGAGCTGCGTGACCACTCCTGTCCTCTCAAACTCCTCCAGTTCTTCTCGGTAAAGGTAGTCCTCAGCCTTGTGACGACAGCCATAGTAGAGCACAGTCTCGCCTACTTCCTTACCTGCAAGACAGGAAGTCATTTGAAAGCTTTTAGAGGGGATGACAGAGACCCCAGTTACACTGCAACAACACTGGTATTCTGGACGTTAGATGGCGAAGGTGCACCTTGAGACTTCAGCCAGCCTCGCTCCTGGATGAATCCCATGAAAGGAGCGATACCGGTCCCTGGGCCAATCATGATCACCGGGCTGCTGGGCTTGAAGGGCAGTCGGAACTGGGACTTCCTGACGTACATGGGCACTGTGGGCTTGTGCCCATTGTCCGTCACCACCTTGTTCTTCAGCCAGTTTGTGGCCACGCCCTTGCTGGTCCGGCCCGTCAAGGTCTTGTACTCCACCACCACTGCGCAGATGTGGATGCTGTTGGCGTGAACCTGCGAGGAAAAGCGTACACGTTTGTGTCATTCGGGGGGGGGGGGGGGGCGTCATGGCTTCAGCAGGCATCCCCTCCTCTTCGGCATGAGGGGGGGGCTCACCTTGGAGGAGGAGGCGATGGAGTAGTAGCGAGCCTGTAGTCGGGGCATCAGCTCACACAGGTGGTCGATGGGCGGACGCAGGGATGGGAGGTCCTGAAGAATGGCCAGAATATTCCTGCGAGAATCCAGCACCCAGCTCTGATACAGAGCCTGGGAAACAGAAGCTCATTAAGCAGGAGGCGACCGGGAGTAAGGCAGCCTTGTCAGACCTGCTGGCACTCCAGAGGACATGGACAAACACAGATCTAAGTCAAAGGTTTTTACTGCCCAATAGTTCAAATCGCCAACATGTGCCCCAGTTAATTATCTACAGGCAAACTTTAGTGCTGCAGCTCGACTGTGACCTTTAACTGTCCCCTTATCTATACTGGACCACAATAAATGGGCTAAAAAGCGCATCGCACGCACATCGTGTCAAACGGCGATGCGGCGAGGGGGCAGGTACCTTCCCCTCGGCCGAGGAAGATGCCATCTTGCGCATGTTCTCCTGTTCCTGGGGATTAGTGGCGTACTGCGCCAGCTCGTACAGGACGTTGGTGCGAGGTGGGTTGCTGATGTCCAGGTAGTGCATCAGGGCCGTGCGGTAGGTGGTGGGACATGGAAAAGGGTGCTTCTTATTCGAGTCCTCTGCAGGGACAAAACGGTCAGTTACACAACTGTCAGATGACCAAGTTATTTAAATAAGGCACCCAGCAGGTGCATTATGGGGCCACGAAGCTCACTGGTATCCGGAAAGTTACAGAAATTCAGGGCACTCAGCTTGTATCGAACGGCTCAGATTCAGATAAACGATCTACACCTGCGTCTGCTGGCCCCGACATCTATCAAACACACTAGTTAATTACAGCTTATTGTTTTAATAACCAGCAAATGCCAACAGACAGGCGGCCATGGCCAAAGACGGGATCCAAAGCATTATCAATCTCATACCGTCAAGGTTGTTGAGGGAAAAGACAGTGTCAAGGTCTACACCAAGGATCTCTCCGATCTGGTTCACGAGAGCTGTCTCGTTGACGGGGAAGACCGCCACGTGGTCTCCGGATTCATACCTGGAGACAAAGAGAATGACACGGGCTCAGTCCTGAGCTCTAGCATCAAGGCGGCCTCAAGGTCAAGGTCACACCAGAGTACTGCAAGTGATTCTGGGGTGTGGTGTTACCGAATCTTGGACCCTGTGACGTCCAGCTCCAAGTGCATCAGGTGTCGGTCCCCTCCCTGGTTCAGCTTGCGGTTGACGGTCACCGATGACAGGAATGGGTTTTTGGAATCAAAAGGCCTGAGAATTACAGGGACAACAAAAAAAATGAGGGATTTCATGCGGCCCCTCCCCCTAAATGAGTTGTAACACATGTTGCGTGATTTACAGGGTTATTGGGGATTGATTGATTGATGGGTCATTGTAGATCCCTCAAAGATGAAAAAAGCTGGAAAACTATAATGCTCAGGTCCTCTGCCAGCCAAACTCACGGTTTCTGAGTCTCAAAGCTCTTGAGACGGCCAAGCTCGCCGGTGTAGATCTTGTTCATGTTGCAGTCCGCGTGCACCACCAGCTCGTACTGACGGATGCTGTAAGGGAGAAGCGGACAATCAGCCTTGTGCCCCATGGGCGGGGTCTGTAAAGAGGCGCGGCACACCCAGCCTGCTCTGCTCAACATTATGCAGGAGCTGATGTCAGCCAACCATCGCAAGATATGTAAATTAGCAACACAAAGCTAGGGGCCAATGAATTCCGAGCTCCTCCAGCCCATTGTGGGGGGGGACAAAGACTTGGCTCCGGACCTGGATTCTTCTCCTGTTGCCTCCACTCCGAAATGCTCACAAACGGCTGGCCAAAACTGCTCCCTCCAAGAGACAAAGTCCTCTTCCAGGCTGAGGGGAAAGCCCATGACAGCTGTTAGCCAAAGCGGAGACCTTCACGCAAACAAGCCCCCAAAAGTTCGGGGGGTGGGGTGGTTGGGGGGGGGGGTCTCAGACTACTGCTGAGCTGACCCCAACGGTTCAGACCAACCTCTCATGCCGGCACAACAAATAAAACACTTACAGAAATGTCTTTGGATCCTACTTGACTGATCCATCACTCACTTGGTATCGTCGTCTCCCAGCCCCAGGTCGAAGATCCTGCTAGCACCCAGTTCTTCCATTCTCTTATCCACGTACTTTCCCATTGCATTGTAATGTTCGTACGTTTTGTTCCCAAGGGCAAAAACCTAGACGAGCCAAAAACACAGGGAAGCACAGCGATGAGACCGAGACGTACAGGTGCCTAGTGGTGTGAACCGTTATTTGCGGCAAGTCGGTCACTTTAAAGTAGAAATCGACTCGGGCCAAAAACCAGCACATTCTGGCTAAAACTGAGGAAACCACACTGAAACTCACAGAAACTCGTGTGAAAACTTCGTGGGACTGCCCCAAGCCACCATTACCACCCAGGAAGGTCCCAGTGGTAGGCAGACTCGTTGACTGGCCCTTGGAAAGGACTGATTGGTTGACAGAGCTGTGAGGACCTCGACCAGTGAAAAGGCCTCCGCACCACAAAGGCTCACTGCAGAGCCCTTGCACAGAAGCCTTTATGCTGGGGGTAAAGGCTGTCCCATTCCCGTCCCCGGCCAAAGGCCGCTGGTTAGCATGACACCCTGCAGCCAGATCCCCAAAGAAACATTGGGAAAAAACCCCAAATAATGATTCTTGGATGTATCCAATTTGCAGCCCCCCCCCTGCCCAACGGAGCCTTATTAGTGCTGTCAAGTGGAAATCCCAGCAAAGCCACAAATGCTGCGGGGGCGGGGAGAGTTGGGTAAAGCGCAGCTTGAATCTGGCAGAGATCCGAACCGCAATCCAAGGCCCCCACCCAACGGGGGGGGTGTGCTCCGGGTATGGGACCCCCTGCATATTTCTGCTCCCCGCAGCCTGGAGGCAGGGGCCTTAAAGCCCAAAGTCATCTTTAGGGGAGAGGCTGCTATTGTGCTATCTTCCGAAGCAGAACTGAGCGAAACCTGAAAGATGCGACTAAAAGCAGCCGGAGACGCAGCCAAGGGGGTATGATCTCTGGCCGACCGAAATAAACATTAACACTTCAAGCGGTGCAGCTGAGCGGCTTGCATACCCCGACTGGGCTGGGTCACAGAAGGACTCACCGTGTATTTGACGCCGGATAGGTCGACTTCCCCCTGCTGCAGCCAGTCGTAGAAGTCCTGGGCGTTGTCGGTGGGGTCCCCCTCCCCATACGTGGCCATGCAGAA